GGCCGAGAGTAGGGAGAGTCTGCTCTCCCTCTCGAAATGCTCTCACATGGCCACGGGTATATAGCCTCTGCCAGGCAAGTCCTACTCATTGCCTTCTCGTTGCGAGGGTGTTGTTTACGAAAATGAGAGAACAAAAAGTGAATGTCCGGTGCTTTAACCGGATCTCAAACCATTGGTGCACATGGGCTCCAGTATCCTGAGTGAACGAATGGCGTATGAACCAATCGTTGGTCACCGGCTACTATGGGAATGCATCTCCTCACGACGCTCCACTGTCTTGTGGGTCAGACCTTTAGGTCAAAGGCTCGGGGTGTGGCCCCCTAAGACAACCACCTGCTTCGGTCTGGGCACCCGGGCAGTATCACAGCCCACACACAAATATGGTGTGGCGCATATATATTTGGTGCCCTCTTGTACCAATATTTGTGTTGAAATAAATAAATAAACCAGTCCGTCATTCAGCTACAGCGTAGGACGCGGCACATTTATGCATCGGTCCAAGTTGCCATACCTCATTGTCACAAGATTAACACTGAATTAACTACTTCTATGAATTTAATGGTGGTGATACATAAAAGAAAGATTGCATATAAGGATACAGTACAGGAAGAAAGAATTAGTTCATAGAAAGAAAGGTGTTGCTTTGAAAGATATACGAACGGCTGTGGAAACTTAAGCGACATATATTAGGGATTTTAAGCAGAGGATTTTGAAAAACCAGTGGTTTTCCGCGATACCCACCACCCTAATAGAGTCCCGTAAACTTATCCCATCAGACTCCGAACACGACAAAGAGTGTAAACAAATCAGATCTAGGTTAACCAAAAGTCTACAGAATGATCGTGAGCAGTGATGAGCAACAAAAGCAAACGGGATGGAGAAGGCAGCGTCTGTAGGCAACATTAAACAGCTTTTGAGACTAATAAAGGAAACCCGAATTAAGAAGTCAAGTGTACGTGAGACAATCTCGGAAGAAGGTGGCACACTTATCAGCTCTCAGTGTTGACGTTTGGAGCTTTGGACGGAACAGTAAGGAGCAGTTCATCTGGCCTTCAGTTACTCTACAGCTACCCACCACTCCCAAATAGCCTGAATGGAATATGGAAGTAGGTCCCCCGACTCTAAAGTTCAAATAACTGTAGCTTATGCGAAACAACAAAGAGCAGCTGGTTCAGATGGATTAACTCCAGAGGTCTTTAGGAATGGTGGTCCAGTTTTAGCGGTTAGGTTGACTAATATTTTGTTTAAAATTTGGGAATCGAACGTAATTCTATCTGGTCGCAATCACTGATCGTCCCAATATATAAAAAGGATTAAAATCTTCATGTGGTAACCAGAGAGGGATTAGTTTGACTAATATAGCATCTAAAATACTAGCCTCAATTGTTGTTGGACGCATAACAAAGAATCATGAACTGGAAACACGAGAAAATTAGGCTAGTTTCTGACCTGGTCATGGCTGCATCGACCACATATTTACCTTGAGTTAGATTTTAGAACACAGGCATGTTTATCGGCGTCCGACAATGGTGGTCTTTCTTGACTTAAAAGCAGCATTTGACTCTGTAGACCGAGAGGTTCCGTGGCAGTGTTCGTCATTGAAAAGTGTGCCTCAGAAGTACATTAACACTGTGAGTGTTCTTTACTCAAATACTATTAGTCGAATCAGAGCTTATGGCGAACTGTCATCTGATTTTGCAACCTCAAGTGGTGTCCGTCAAGGCTGTCCACTTTCCCCATTTTTGTTTAACTTCATCATAGATCTACTGCTGGAAATAACTCTCATCGACAGAATTTTCGGGCATTGATCTACTTCCAGGAGGTCCACTTATGGACTTAGAATACGCAGATGACATAGTCCTGTCTGGTAAAGACTCTGAGTCAATCTTTCTCGGGTTTCGAACAACCCACGAAGTATGACAGAAGCCAATAGTTTGGACGCAATCGGAAGTAGATTTATCCCCGATAGTTGTTAGAGAAACGACGTGAACCCTTTTTAAAGATAGGGAAAACTATCGACTCATTCCATGACGTTGGTACACTCTCCAGCTCTCAGACCTTTTTAAACAACGTCGTCAGTTCCTTAGTCACAAAGTCACCACAACCTTTAAAAGGAGCCGGAGGTAGGCCATCTGGGTCCAGTGATTTATAGCGTCCCTTGCGGACTTCCGCCGCATTTGGTGGATCGGTCGTCACCGGCCATGGAGGGCAGGACAGTCTGATCGATGTTGCTGGAGCAGCAGGCTAGTTGAACTGCCCTTCGAAAAATTCTGCCCATCGTCCAAGACGTCGATGGATGTTAGTGATTGGCATCCCGTCATCCTCACAGATTGCTTCGCTCATACCAGACTTCTTGCTGCCAGTGGCTCGGATGAGTTGGAAGAGCTTCCGGTAGTTACCAGATGGAGCTGCTGCTTCCAGCTCATTAGCACGCTCCGACCATCACTATTCTCGGTCCTTACGCAAGCTTTGCCCAATGTCCCTACGTAACATCCTTCGTTTGTGGTTAAACTCACGGTCACCCGTAGTAGACCGACGGGTCTCGATTAGTGCTGCCTCAGCTCTAGCGCTTAGTGCGACACCAACGCCGGCAAAACCAGATGAAGATAGTTTTGAGGTAGTCGAACGCGTCGACCACTTATCTTAGAAATCTGATCAGCCCTAATGGGTTGGTGTCTGGCAAAATCTCTGCACGGATTCAAAAAGCTCGTTTGGCTTTTGACAACTTACGTCATCTATGGCGAAGACAAGAAAACCGTCATATCAGTTAAAGGGCGAGTATACTGCGTGGTTGTTCGTTCTATCCTACTTTATGGCTGCGAAACGTGGCCGCTATGAGTAGAAGATACTCGTAAGCTACTAGTATGTGATCACAGATGCCTTAGAAACATTGTTTGCGTCTTCTGGAATCACCGGGTAAGTAATAGTGAGGTTAAACTCAAGGTATTAGGGGATGATGATTAATCAGTTGGTAAAGTTGTGAATCTACATGAACTGAGATGGTTGGGCCACGTTTAACTTATGCCCAATCACCGACTGCCACGGCACGCAACTCACAAGTGTTGAAGATAGATGGAAGTTAGGGGCGTCCAGATCAAAACGTGGCATCAGTCCACAAAGTCACTAACTTGTGGTTTGAACCATGTTAGATGCAGATTACTTGATTGGGGTCCTCGTGACTAACGTAAACAGCGGTTAGAGACTGAGTGACATGGTTGAAAATCAATCACAATGGTGTAGGTGTTTATACTCTGTCTTCCATGAAACCATGAGACTAAAATTACTTTATACCCTTCTTTCTACGAACTAATTATTTCTCCCTGTATTGTATCCTTATATGCAACATTTCTTTTATATATTACTACCACTGATGTAACTTCTATAAATTTTGTGATCGATTTGTTGTGCTAATGAGGTGTGGCAACTTGAACCGATGTATATATGTGCCTGGTCCTACGTTGTAGCTGACTGACTGGTACCATTTGTCCTCTCATTATCCTGTTCTCCATATGCACCATTGGTTTGGGGTCAGGGTTCTCGAACTCTCCTATGTGGGTCCTCCATATTCAGCAACCCCAGTCAAAGCGCTGGACAATCGCTTTCCACCCTTTCACTTTCGTAAACAACACTCCCTTCACAAGGTAGTGACTAAATCTTTCTTGATAGTGGCTGTATACGCGTGGCCATGTTAGGATTTCAAGAGAGAGCGAGAGAGAGAGCGCGGATTCTGCCCACCCTCGGCCATACCAGGGCATTCCGGGACGAAGTTTTTCGACCCCATCCAATCTACTTGGAATTTCTGTGTTATATACTGTTGTCAACTTTTGTGATGCCTGTGTAGTTATTTGTTCAGTGTTCAGACTTATACATTATTAATCTTATTCCCTCTACCTTTTAATATCGGCTGATGTCAATCTCAACAATCCTGTTCCCTTTATTATTTGACGATAATCAAAAATATCAAGGAAAAACTAAAAATAATAAAAGCCCGGTCTTGATGCTGTTTGAGTAGCTTTTTGTGTGGCTTACCTTCCTCATATAGCAAAATAATCAGTGCTAACGACCACGTCTATACATCTACTGTTTTGTAGCGGGCTTAATAGAGTTTAAAAGAATTTGTTGTAGACACTGTTCATCGTCACTTCATTCGTTAATATATTTGGTGAACAACTGAGTAGAATGAATTCTCAAGATTCTGAAAACCCGGGAATAAATACGTTCTGTTGTGACTGTTTTTAGGAAACAACATACAACTAACAGTAGAACATGTATAATTTGATGGCTTCCTATTTATCTAGTTTTGTAGCCTTTCCGTACCGTCTTATGAACTAAAGTCGAGCAGTTTGTCCCTGAATACTTTGAATATTTTAGTGGCTATCGTAATAATATCTGTAGAGTCATAAGGTATTTAAAAAGACCCTCATAAATACGTTGGACTTCGCCATTTCATATGTTACTGTAAATTTGCGAGTCTTAAGAATAATATGGACGTCCTAATTAATGTACACTTTTTCATTCACATCCCTTAATATTTTCATTATTCTTTAACATCATTGTACTTAATAAGGTCGGATAACGAGTCCTTTTGGTTTACATTTTTTACAGCATATAAAATTATTGAGAATGAAAAGTCTCAAGTAACTAATCATTTTGTACAAATCAGCTACTCTGTAAATTAAGTGTAAGTCAATTATTTTGGGTTGAATGCTAAGTCGTCGTATCACTACCTGAGCTGTGTTGAGTTTTGATGTGACTATCTGTTTCTAAAGGAACGCTTACAAAAAAGTTATCAGAGGTAACTTGAAATGTTAATCAATCTTCATTGATCATCCTAAGGGGTTATCATTTTTCATGACCAGCTTTTATGCGATCAACCTTGAAAGGTAATTTAGATGTATACATAACCACTAACCAGCGTAAACTACTGATTAGATTTACTTATCTTTAAATATTCAGTAGTCGTATCATAGTGTGACAAACTAAGTAAGACTAATACTTAGATGATGGAGAGTAGAAAATTCAAACCCTTCGATACAGTCATAAACTTTAACGAAGACTTCATTTCAGGTAGTTTTTAATTCGAATTGAATTTATCCAATTTTAGATTCCGAAGTACACATTAAGACAAGTTCTTCAAAATATGGTTTTTGTAGCTATCCAGGTACCAAAGAAGAAAAAGAATCGCAGTCGCTAAATAGTACTGCTGCTCTCGGATCATTCGTTCAGGGTCGGGACAGAAGCCGAAAACTTTTAAATTCAAATGTTAATACAAATCTTCAGAGTCCTGAAAACAAAAACTTATTTCAAAACTCATGTTTCCCCAGTGAACCGTTAAAATTCATAGGTTATCGACCTATATTCGGTTCTGCGAATTATATTGACTTATGTTCTTTCGATGATCATAATCTTCTCAAACCTTTTGAATTATCATTTCTAGGTGTTCCTCTCTTCAGTTCTTCGAACCATTCCTATTATTCAGATGAACGTATTTACAACACTACCAAACAACAAACTATGCTTGTATCAAGCTCTTTTACCAACAAGTCCAAGAAGGGACGTGTAAGATCACTTTCTGAATTATCGCTTCAACACGTCTGTCATAAGGGAAAAAGAAGTGAAACTGAAGCAGGCGTTCATTTATCTTGTAATCATTATGAAAAGGAACTGAATTACCTTCGGCAGGAACTTATGGCGCGCAATGAAGAGGCAGAAAAGATTGCGCATGGACTTATGCGTGCAAAGAATGAAGAAAAACAATTTGGTGGTCATTTACGCGAACTAACAAAAGAGGGTTCTGCTAAGACAGATACTATTAATAAGTTAAAAGAAAAAGTTTCTGAGCTATATGTTGAAGTGGAATCCCTTCGACATTCTCATCAACAAGCCATCTGTCACCAAGAAGATTTACAGAAGGAGATCGACATTTTGAAGTGTTCACGTGATTGGTACGCTAATCAGCTTCGTTCGGTTCAGTGTGTCAGTGATCGTGTTCAAAATGAACCTGAAAGAATTGTCAACTTACTAAAGGATAGCAGTGAAATGAATCATCGTCTGGCACATGAAAATGCTTGTTTGCGAGCTCAGTTAGTATGTAGCAAGGCCGCCTTAGCTGATGCTAAACGAAATCTCTCTCGCCAGTTAGAGTCTATCCGTGTTGACATGGTAGAACGTGAAGCCCTTTTTGAGCGTATTACTGCTGAACGAGCTTTGTTTGAGAATATCAGTCGTCAGCGCGCTGATGAGATAAGGGAGTTACAGACTCAGGTGTCGAATTTTCAAATGGAACTTAAGGCTACTGAAGAGCATATCTTGCTTCAGAAGAACAAGCTGTTGGATGCTGAAGGAGCCTTGGCAGTCGCAGAAAGAAAGCGCAGTGAATTACAAAACCAGTTAGAATCCTTTGAGAAAGAACATTTTACGAAGGAAAACTATCTAGATGATCAATTCTCCAAATATGGTGTCATCTTAGAAAGTCTGAAGGTTTATGAAAACGGAGATAAAAGTAAGGGCATCTTAATTGATGAGATTCTAGAAGAAAAAGCCACACTCACTGCAGCTCTCTCAGCATCACAATATGAAAAAGAGACACTGAATAAATACTTGATAAATTTGAAGGATAACTTGTTCAGAGTAGAAAAAAGTTTTGTCATCCTTAGACGTGAAATTGAATCCAAGTCTGCACAAATTATGGAGCTCACCACTCAACGAGACAGTATGGCTGACAAAATTAAATTTCTTTCCGACCAGTTAAATGATTACTGGAATGTGATTGAAAAGTTAAGACAAGAAAAAGAGAAATTAAGCTCTTCCTTAAATGTTTCGCTGACGGAAACCGAAAATTCCCACAACAATCTAAACAAATTGGATTTTTCACTCCAAAAGGCTGATGGTGACTTTAAAACTGTTGCTAAAGTAAAACATGTAGGAACGAGTTCTCTTTTGCCGAGTCAGATAATTGACAAACAACTTACACTAGAGTCGCAGACCATTCATTACTTCCCAGTTGCAATGGCGACCTTTCAAAGTCAACCAAATACTGCTTCTCTACCGTCTTCAGTAAATAATTTTAGTACCTCGGATGCTACACATTCTTTAAACATTCAAGTGAATGAGGATAGTTGTTGGCAAATTATGGATTTAAACAAAAGATTATCTAGTGACGCTGTTTGTGATGTAGCTCCAATTTCGCAAAATACAATCGGTGTACCTGATTCTAATTACGATACTCAAAATAACGGCTCGAACTCACAGGAGAACTATCCCACAACACCTTTAAGTTCTGATAAAAATATATTTTGGTCAACGGATCCTTCGTCTTTAGTTTCTGCCCGTGTTTTGTCTTCATACGAGCAAAACCAAATGGGATTAAATCAAACAGTTCCTGATCCAAATAGTCAGTGTTATTTTGATAACTGGCCATATATACAGCAGTTACCAGATTACCAGAATATTGCTAATGTGGATTCTGGCCTTCACCTTTCAGACACCCATATAACAACCAATCAAATATATTCTTCAGATTACCAACAACGTAATATGCCTTATTTAAATCTATATTTACACGATAGTCTGAACCATACTGATGAGTATAAATTCAATGTACAACAAGATAATTCGTACACGTGTCTATCTAAAGACGAATGTTCCTCGGATTTTAATTGTGATATTACAATTAGTAGAAATAACATTTTAATTCCTAGAGCCAGTTTACCTTTGGACCACAAAACCAATAATCTGAACTGTGATAAAATTTATACAGATCCATTAGTTATACCAGAACAACAACAAAATGTCTGCTTTTCTAACAAAAATGATACTTGTACGATCTTATCTACTGAACAGGATACCAACTATAAATGTACTGTTACTGAGGTTCAAAATATTCATACAAATGATTGGACAGGTAAGGAGTCATCTAGTTGCTCTAGTAATTTCCGTGTTAAAATAAATGAAAGTGAAACACCAGTTAAGTTGACGGAATATTTCTCAAATGATCATCAAGGGAACCGGACAAATGAAGTTTTTTACACACAGAATGTAGCCACTACCTTACTATCTGTCACTGAAACACCAGAGTCAATACTATATTGCTGTTCATCATATGAAAATTCGAATCTAACTGAAATTACTGAAAGTAAAGCAGAAAAACTGAAATTATATCAAGTTGGTGGATCAAATCAGTCAACAGTCATTTCTAAAAAAAGTGATCATGAATACTACTCATGTTCTGTCACTACTGAAACACCAAATGATTCATTTGACTTAAGAATATGCAATACCCGTCAGTCTAATATCAATACTTGTTCTTCAGAACACATATATAATACATCTGAAGCTCTTCTTATGTCTACTTTTGATGAACTGAACTGTGTGAAAAGTGAGCGGGACAATCTTTCCGAGCATGTTTCGGTCTTGCAAAAGGATTTAGCCAATGCTGTTGCTAACTTAACAACTTATCAGAAAGAGGCAGAAATGCAGACGCTTAACGCTGAACGTGAAAAAGTTGCCCATCAACAAGCACTCGAGGCTCATCAACTTTCTATTGTGGAACTTAATAATACCAAAGCCGAACTTGTTAACGTGCAAAAGTTAGTTAGTGAACTTCGTCAGGAAGTTGTCTCTTCAAAAGAAGAAGTCGCATTATTGCGGGCGCACGAAGATGAAAATCGTTCTCTCTATGAAACGGAAATCAATTCAATGAAATCAATTGTTAAGGTATATCCTATTTTATTTGAAAACATTAATTCTTGTTTTTATTATGCCGCATAATAAGTTATTTTGCATCGATAAAAGCAGATCCCATCTCATTTTTTTCATTTTTATTTTGGACACAGTGCGTTCATAAACCGGTTTTTTGTGATTTTCGTCCATTTTTGTTAATAAACGTCAACATACAACTACATTATAAGTGATCTTGTAGCGTTTATACTGTTCTTTGTAATCAGCATTACAAATTTTCGTTTATGTATTGTAATGATTGTTGATGTTTGGATAAAGATAGTGATGATTAAGTACTACACATCCCCGCGGTCATAGTGTTGTAGTGTCGATTACTGTGCCAAGCCCACATGACCTATTCTAGCTTCTGGATAAGCCAATTTATCCATTCTTCTTGAGCCACATTTTGACCTTGTCAATTATTCATTAATCCTGTTTTTATATAAGCATATGTATGTTCATTTCTTATCTTACTCATCACATGTCTTTAACTTATTTTTGTTCGAATAATAATATCAATCCACCCTTTACTAAATTGAGTTGGTTCACTCGCCTTCTCCATTGCGCGTCGTTTTGGTTTGCTCCGCTTTCCGGTCAGAGATCGCATGAAATGTACGTATTCAAAAATCCATTCTCGTAATTGACTTGTTAAGTTCCGTTATTCACTAACGCGAGTTAAGTCGATAATTACATGTGAGGATTGGTGACATGCAGATTTCGATAACAAACATTCGTACGATCCAATTGGAGTCAGATTAAGGGCTACTAAAGTATCCTGTCTCCTTTGTTCTATGTAATCTCGTGTCTATGTCTATTATTTTGTTGGGATATCCCAAAAATTATTCTAAGTCTAATGCTATTCTTGGACTTGGAGATGGTATTATTCTCTTATTGGTCAGTGCTTATTTCACGTGTCATTTTCCTACTGGTCAATATTGTACAATGTTATTTTCTATTTTATGGTACGATGTGGTCTGCTTGATTAGTATATAAACAGAGTGTGTTTGGAATATAATGATTCATATATCCGAGGCTGGGACTTGCGTTCTGGACTTAACTCGCTGGGCTAGACAGGGAAGCGGGACCAGTCAGAACCCTAGGTCGTTCTGCGTGTTTGCGCGTCTTTAGTCCGATCAATAATTCGCTACCCCTCTAATCAGCAGCATTTTTCACGTTATAACATTTAAAATCTCACCTAGTAGTATTTAATAGTAGTTTCTAAAGCATTATAATTGTTTAGTAATTCAAAAAAATAACTATGGAACTTTTTAACTTACAGATAACAAGCGATCACCTATCAACACTGGCAGAATCACTCCACAATGCGCTGAGTGAAAAAGCTATACTGCAGAGGGAATTCAATCATTTGAAAAATATGATTCATGGTCAATTACAGAAGTTTCGTTTATTCACTCGTTTGGAGTTATATGACGAATCTAAAATAGTCAACCAATTTTCCGTTGGTTCATTAGCTGCTCTTGGAATTTATTTAGAAAATCTGGTTGATGGTAATTCTCAGATAAATTTTCATACAAAGTAAGATAAATTTCACATAAGCTATGCGTTTGTATTTAATATTTTATTTTGGATTGCAACATTCACTGAGTTCACAGGTTCATTTCAGCCACTTTAGTATCCCTGGATGGTATCAATAAAGTATGCTTTCCAATTTGATCTCATTCATTAGTCTCATATAACCTGTTCAACTAAATAACTTGTAGTGGCTTTACTTCGTTAATCAATCCCATTTGTAACCGTTATTATATAAATTCCATCGCCGTTTGAAATCAGAAGGCAATAAGAAGCGGTGACTACGGTTTATTAGCGGACATCACATATCACAAACCTACAAGCACATCAAGCGAATTTGAAGCATAGAGACGAATATGTGTGTGCGAGCAAATGTAGAGGCAAATTTATAGTTAAATTGAATAAGGCTCAGCTAGGCAAGGCAAAGACTAATGATAGGATTTGCGTACATATATACATGGGAAAGAGAATGAATCATCGAGCAATATTTAAGCTATCAACATTACTGTTAGAGTTTATCACGTGATCAAGCGTACACGTTTATACAAATATGATAGTGATTATAGTAGTACAAAGAAATGTGCAAATTGTTACTGTTCTAATGGCATTGTCTGTCAAGTAAGTTAATAAAAGAGCTTAACTAAAATTAACCATAATCGAAATTGATTATAGGAGGTTTGCTATAAAATTTGCTTGTTCAGAAATACTAGGGTGAACGTTTATCTTTCCTTTATTTCGTATGTAGACAACCTAACCATTAAAAAATGTGTTAAAAGGCGGACTATTGTGATACGTAAATAACCTTCACTTAGAACATAATTCCTCACTTGTAATCATTGTAACGAACATCCATAGTTATGGTAAGCTAAATAAATGCCAGAATTACAAAAAAAACTTTTGTGCGGTTTGTTGTAAAAATGCAGTCCTCACAGCAAGTAATAACCAATTTACGTTAAAAAATACCATTCTGTTTAATGCAGTCCAACATCATTCCTATGGTGAAACCTAACCTATTGTTGTTTTCATCATTGAAAAGTAACTCATTAAGGAAATCTTGCTTCGATTTTAATCACATATACATTTACTAATACGTCGTTTTTTTGAGAAAATGTTGAGATTTTTTCAGAGCTATACCTAATGATAATGTTAACTAAAACTTCAAAAGGTGTCGAACTATTCGAACTGCATTCACTTGTCGCGGATCTTTACACCCTCAAAGTCACATTAAAAGTGCATTGAAAGTTGTGCCTTGTGCAACTATTCAAATAAATGAATCGGTTAGCGATGCATAGAAAAATATTGGTGAAATCTCGTACCAAGGACGGTGTCACTCAAAGCAAATTCGGTTAATTGTCCTACCAGTTGTTAATAGGATAGAATTCTAACTATTGCATTCTCAACGCCAGCCCAAATCTGAATGTGACGATCGATTCATTTTTAACTAATCAGAGATAATAGATGGATCAAGAAGATACTAAAGATTTATCGTATAAATTATGTATAAACTCTTGTGCTTCTATTACTGTAGATTGTTTTTTCGGCTCCTTGGAGTATATTTTATTCCCAGCTTATTTTTATGTTTATCGAGTCAAGTAAAGTGAATTACCTAAAGAATACTAGACATGTCACAAGTCAACACTGGTAGGCTTTGTGTTAAAAAAGAACATTTTGGATATCACTCCCTACACATATTTAAATGTTAAGGGACCAAATTTTAAATATATTATTTATTTAATTTAAGGAGATCCCAAAATCTATTGAAGCTCTTTTTATAGGTCACCTCGTAAATTTAATCCATCCTTCGAATCTCTTCGAACAGAAATAACAAAACTTGAAAATGATCTACTTAGTCGTAATATGCTTGTCAGTGACTCAGCTCAAAATATATAGTAAGTGAATAGATTGTTTTACGATACGTTTTCCATGTTATTTTTTTCGGTGTTAACTGTATCTTCTGAGGATCCGATCCAAATATCCACTCATTTCGTGTACACTAAGTAGTCGCTGGGTAGCAACCAGTACAACGTTAAGTAATTCACATTAGTCAGGATTCTGCCTGGTAAGTTTGTAATGCCCCCAAATGCCCTGGTACGGCCGATAGTGGGGGGAGTCCGCTCTCGAAATGCTCTCACATGGCCACGCGTATATAGCCTCTGCCAGGGAAGTCTTACTCACTGCCTTCTCGTGGCGGGGGTTTTGTTTACGAAATTGAGAGGACGAGAAGCGAACGTCCGGCGCTTTAACCGGGTCGGTGGACATGGAGAGTCCACCTAGGGGAGTTGGAAAACCCTGATTCCAAACCAACGGTGCACATGGGCTACAGTATCCTAAAGGAACAAATGACGTATGAACCAATCGTTGGCCACCGGCTACCATGGGAATGCATCTCCTTACGTTGCTCCACTGCCTTGTGGATCAGACCTTCAGGTCAAAGGCTCTGGTTGTGGCCCCCTAAGAAAACCACCTGCTTCGGTTCGGACACCCGGGCAGTATCACAGCCCTCACACAAGAGTCAGTCAGTCAGTAACAACGTAGAACTTCGTACGTACGTACATCAGTTCGAGTTGCCACACCACATTAGCACAGAGATACAGTTGTCGATTCAAATCCCGTAGTGGTAGAGGTAATAAGAGTATAAGCAGTAATCGGGAAGATTAGGGTTTGGAGATGTTATTTAAAGAGTATAATCCAGTGAAATAAATTTGGAAAGAGGAAAAAAGGGACATGAAGAATTCAGAAGATTAGAATTTAGGAGAACACAGAGTGTGGATGCACCTGCGCCATTGCAAACGATTTTGAGCCATGTCATTCAGGGTCTCTAACCATCGGTTGCTATCATGACTCAGTTCACTTGTCAGTGACTTCATGGACTTGTGCCATGTTTTGGTTTGGCCACACCTAGCTTTCTTCCAACCTACTCCTATACCACTGAACATAGCACGTCGAGGCAGTCGGTCGTTGGGCATACGTAACACGTGTCCCAGCCATCTCAACTGATGAAGTTTCACTACTTCATCAATTGATTTGCCATCCTTACCTAGTACCCGTTTCCTAACAACTGTGTTACTTACTCGATGGTCCATGATATACGAGCAATGTTTCGAAGACACCTATGATCAAATACTAGTAGCCTACGGATATCCTCTACTCTTGCCGGCCATGTTTCACTGCCATAAAGTAGGACGGAACGAACTGCTGCGCAGTAAACACGTCCTTTGGTTGATAGACAGATATCTCGCCTACGCCATAAATGACGCAAGTTGGCAAAAGCTAGTCGAGCCTTCTATATCCGTGCAGAGATTTCGTCATACACCAGACCACAAGGGCTGATGAGACTTCCAAGATAAGTGAAGCGGTCGACACACTGAACTACTTCACTCCCTATCACTAGTTCGGGTGTCGATGTAACCCAATCCTGAAGCAACATTTTGCATTTCGAGGGAGAGAATCGCATCCCGAACATGCTTGCATTGTTGCTTAGAGTGGTCAGAAGACTCTGCATTTTGTCAGCGTCTTCACCAAATAAAACTGTCATCTGCATATTCTAAGTCAACAAGTGAACCTCCCGGTAGAAGTTCAACCCCTGGAAATTTAGATGAGGAGAGTGTTATCTCTAAAAGTACGTCGACCACAAAGTTGAACAAGAATGGGGAGAGTGGACATCCCTGACGAACACCACTTGAGGTAATCAATTCTGATGACAGTTCGCCATAAGCTCTCACTCGACCAGTTGTGTCCGAGTAGAGAGCCTTTATAAGGTTAATGTACTTCTTTGGTATTCCTTTCAGTGACAAACACTGCCATAGAACCTCACGATCGACAGAGTCGAATGCTGCTTTAAGGTCGAGAAATACTACCATTGTGGGGCGTCTGAATGTGTGTCTGTGTTCTAGAACCTGACGTAGTGTGAATATCTGATCTATACAACCACGTCCAGGTCGAAAACCGGCCTGGTTTTCTCTAATCTGCTCTTCACGAGCTTTAGTTAGGCGTCGAAGTATTATTGAAGCTAATATTTTAGACACTATATTAGTCAAACTGATTCCTCTGTGATTGTCACAAGAGGACTTTTGTCCTTTCTTATAGACTGGCACAATCAGTGATTGAGACCAGTCAGATGGGATTACGTCCAGTTCCCAAATCCTACCTAAGACCTCGGTTAATCTCATTGCTAATACTGGACCACCATCCTTAAAAATCTCAGGAGTAAACCTGTCAGGGCCTGCTGCTCTCCCTCGTTTCAGATTTCCTATGGCTTTTTCAACTTCGTAAAGGGACGGAGGACCTACATTAACTTGCCATTCAGGTTGACTAGAGATCGTGGGAAACCGAAGTGTAGCTGAAGGCCAGTTGAACTGATCCCTAAAGTGTTCTGCCCATCGATCCAATCTCCTGGATTAAGAATGAATAATATGTCCATCTTTCTCTGAGATTGTTTCGCTAACGGTCGGGTTCCTAATTCCGGTTTCCTTAACGAGTCTGAACAATTGTCTGCTATTACCTATTGCCTCTGCCTTTTCCATCTCTCTTGCTTTCGCTACCCACTACTGTTCGCGATCATTGCGTAGACTTCTTATCAGCTTGCGCTTAAGCTGACTCCGCTCTTCATTATGTTCAGAGCCAGGTGTAATGAGTTTCCGAGCATCTATCAGTGAGATAGATGCTGCTGAGATCCAGTGTTGCTTCCTAAGCTTCTGGTTTACCTTACTAGCAGATATCACTGCTGTTTCCACAGCTTTACGGATATCATTCCATGCTGCCTCAGGGTGGGCATCACATACATGGCTGCCTAACTGTTTTCCTAGTTGTTCCTGAAATATACTCTTAGCTTGACTATCATTAAGTAGGCCCCTAAGAGGTTTCCTTGCAGCGTCTTTCCTACGTCCAGTAAGACGCAAGCAAATACGCGCTCGCACTAGAGCATGATCTGAATCTAGGCATGTGCTCCAGAATGAGCGACAGTCTTCTATCGAGCCCCTCCATCGGTGGCTGATAGCGATGTGATATATTTGGGTCCAACGTTGGGACGAATTAGGGGGTCGCCATGTTAAAAGATGTTTATCCTTATGCTTAAAGTTAGTATTTGCAAGGAACAGGCGGTTATCTGAGCATAGCTGCAACAGACGGTCGCCATTATCTGTTCTTTGAGCCACGACACCATAAGATCCACCTAGGTGTCTTTCCCTATCGCTTAGTTTACCTACTTGAGCATTAAAGTCACCGGCCACTATTACTACATCCGAGCGCTTATCTTTTCGGAGAAGGTCCGAAAGCTTTCTGTAGAACTCATCTTTTACATCATCTGAGCCGCAGTCAGTGGGAGAATAGGCAGAGACGACGAAGAGGCAACGACGAGTGTCCCTATCTTTCCGGATTCTTACTGTTCCGTTCAGTCGGACAGCGCACAAACGACTGTCTACTGGGATCCACTCTAAGAGAGCTAGTTCTGCCCTAGGACTCAATGCTATAGCTACGCCGGCGAGGCCACGGGAAGCAGAATCAGGGCTTCCAGATACACGAAGCGTAAATCGAGTCGGTTCTTTATTTTGGCATGGTGAGGTCAAATGAATGACGCTACTTGGATCCTGTATGCGCGTTTCGGAGACGCAGCACACATCGATGGCGCGAGATTCTAAAGTTTTAGATAAGGAAGCCTGCTGTCCTATTTGGTAAAGTGTTCGTACGTTAAAAGCTCCAACGTGTAGTTTAGAGCGTGGTTTCAGGAGACCAGGAATGGTGTTCCACGTACTCGAATCGTTTGCCCTAGCGGTGCGAGGTGATAAAGAGACGTGAGGAGGGTTAGTCGGGGAGATAAGAGAGGTATTAGAAGGTATAGGAAGGATTTGAATGTGACCACCTTGGTCTCTTGTGCTGTTACGGGTACGAGGGCTGATATCACTTCCCGGCTGCCCACACCGTGGAAGGGTATTTCTTGAGGAACCTGAAAAGGAAATTGGATTAGTGTTGGTCTTGACGACCTGGGAGCGTGACCGCAGAGCCCAAGGGACAACTGCTTGAGGCCGGTCGCGCACGGCCTTTTAGTGGGAGGTTTTTGACGTGCTAGCTCCGTTCTTCAAAGGGCCTTACCGCCGGAGACGGAAATCCGTGAGGTAAGGTGAGGTGTGACATTTTTAGGGTCGACCTTTTCTAACCCCACCCCTCCCTGTGGGAAGGCAGCATCGCTGTCATGCTGGTTGTCTGAAGGAAACACCTTACTGCCCTCACACCTCTGTACAGTCAGAAGTACGACTTCGCCTTCGGACCTTGGGTTTGTTGCTTTTAGTCCTACCGCTCTTCAACCGACCTGTGTGACATGGTAGGACCTTGAGGAACGGTTGTTCCAGCCAGTATAGCTCGGTTGGGTCATCACGATAGGCAAGCCCGACCACCGCGTCAAGGTAGCAGCTTCGATCGGGGCCCTCACACAAACCGAATGATTTATGTGGCGCATATATATTTGGTGCCTCATTGTACCAATATCTGTGTTAAAATAAATAAATAAATGCATGTAGTAGATAAAAAAAAGTTGATATTGTGGTGTTCGTTACGTAGTGTTGAAATGGCTTACTGGATTCATGTGATTTTAACAAAGTATGATTTACGCCTACGTTTTATGTATTTCTTTTTTGATGAATGCTAACTAGCGCGAAATCTACATCTAAAGATTTCTGTTGATTACTGTTAGTCGAAAGGGATTAATTACAATATATCATATAATGTCTAGTCACTGCTTACACTGAAAACTAGAATGTTAATGGTTACTCTCCAGGGACTAAATGGTCTTAACTAACAATATTTATAACTTTACCACTCAATGATAAAAGTTCAGGTCTTTAGGAAGACGCTTTGAAGACCTAGTCTTTTATTAGTTTTGTCAGTTCTTGTTGTAT